TGACACGTCCGTGCCGTACACTCCTGAGCAAAATGGCCGCGCTGAGAGGCTGAACCGCACACTCCTGGAGAAGACCCGCGCGATGTTGCAAGACTCAGGATTGCCGCATGAATTATGGGCCGAAGCTATCACCACTGCATGTGCCCTGCATAATTGTTCGCCTGTGTCGGGCAAGCAGATAACGCCCTTTGAAGTCTTTCCACCGTGTGAAGCCAGATGTCTCTGATTTGCGCGTGTTTGGGTGTACTGCGTGGGTGCATGTCGAGAGGAGGCACCGCAATAAGCTCGATGCCACGAGCCAGAAGGGTGTGTTGGTGGGCTACGAACGCAACTGCAAAGGATACCGGATTTTATTGGACGGGTCTAAGCGTATCGTAGTGAGCAGGAGCGTGCTTTTTGAGGAGACGCCAACGTCCCGCACGCTGCCTGCAAATGATAGCGAAAGCAGCGGCAGCGGAAGCGATAGTGATGATGAGGACGATGTGGCTAGCAGTAGTTGCAAGACTGCAGCCCCTCCCCGGCAAGGGGAGCAGTTTAGTCCGAGCGAGGCCGTAGAGGATAGTCAAGGGAACGCGACGATTGGAGATTCAGCTGAGTTGAATGAGGGGGAGCCTATGGTAGTTGGCGCAGCACCTGAGGCACCTGAGGAGGAACCCACGGCTACTGGCGGTGCAGCCGATTCCGCCAAAGGGAAGCCTAAGACTACCAGCGGGACCACTAAGGGGAAACCTAAAGCTGTCGGTAAGGCAGCTGAGGGGGAGGATAAGGCTGGTGCAGCTGCCTCTACACAACATCGTTACCCCCAACGTGACCGTCATCCGCCCCAGCGACTCAACCTTGCTGTTAACGTATCGGACGTCAAAATCCCGAGCACCTACGAGGAAGCGATGGCCTCTCCGGAACGGGACAAGTGGCAGGAGGCGATGGTTGAAGAAATCGGATCTATCCACGCATTAGATACGTGGGAGCTGAAGGTACCGCCGCCTGGGGTGAAACCGATTCCGGTGAAGTGGGTGTACGACGTGAAGCGGGGTGTAGACGGACAAGTGGAACGATACAAAGCCCGGTTGGTAGCAAAGGGCTATAAACAGAAGGAAGGAGTTGACTTCAATGAGGTATTCGCGCCTGGTAGCAATCAGGTGACGTTGCGTACATTCCTGGCGAAGGCTGCGGCTGAAGGATTTGAGGTACACCACCTAGACGTGCGCACTGCGTTCCTCAACGGGACGCTGGAGGAGGTGATTTATTGTGACCAACCGCCTGGTTTTGAAACGGGTGGCGCAGGTATGAAGTGTCTGTTGAGAAAAGCGTTGTACGGTTTACGTCAGGCAGCCAGAGCTTGGCACCAGAAGTTGCGGGANACGCTGGAGGCTATTGGTTTCAAGGTTTCTGATGCGGATCCCAGCTTCTTTACGCTGGAAGAGCAGTCATTTGTGGTGTGGCTATACGCTCACGTAGACGACTTGCTAGTCGCGAGCAACAAAAGCGAGGAAATAGCCCGTATAAAGCAAGAGTTGAAGGCTGAGTTTGACCTCCGTGATTTGGGGGAGGTGTCGTTCTTTTTGGGTATGGAGATCAGTCGGAGCAAGGAGCTAGGCGAGGTCAAAATCTCGCAGCAGCGGTATACGGCCGAATTGTTGGCCAAGTTCGGGATGGAGGATGCAGTTCCTAAGTCGGTTCCTATGACGCCAAGTCTAGTTTTGAACCGTACTAGTGATATCGATCAGGTATTGTTGGATGCAACGCGCTACCGAGAGTTAATTGGTGGCTTGATGTATCTGGCAGTGTGCACGCGTCCTGATATCGCGCATGCTGTGTTTAAGTTGGCGCGGTATATGTCTGAGCCGGCGAAGGCTCACTGGGAGGCTGCTAAGGATATCCTGAGATATCTGAAGGGGACTGCGAGTTTCGGTTTATGTTTTGCCAGGGACAGCAAGGCAATTGAGGGTTATGCCGATGCGGACTGGGCAGTGGACCGAGACAACCGCCGTTCGACAACTGGATATGCCTTTATCCTTGGCGGTGGAGCCGTCAGCTGGAAGAGTCGGTTGCAACCGACTGTAGCAGCATCGACTGTGGAGGCCGAGTATATGGCGGCGTCCCTAGCTACTCGCGAAGCGCTCTGGCTGAGGAAACTTCTGCCCGAGTTTGGGTGTGAGATCGACGTGATGCGTATCTGGGGTGACAACCAGGGAGCATTAAGTTTGATAAAGAATCCGATTGTTTCGGAACGTGTGAAGCACATCGATGTGATTCATCATTTTGTGCGTGAGAGGGTATCTATGGGGCAGGTGAAGTTTGAGTACTGTCCCACTACCAGTATGGTAGCAGATATTCTCACGAAGCCGTTGCCGGAGGGGAAGTTCGTGCAGTTCCGAGAAGGGCTGGTTGTTCGTTGAGTTGGATTCGCCCGAGTGTTCCGTCCGAGGGGGAGTGTTGACTTCCGGCCAGAACACTAACGGCTGTACGACAGATAAGATGGAATGTTTGGTATAAAGGAGATGATGTTCTGACTGAAAGCTTGTTCTGTGATACCTGTAACGGTTGAGGTTGGCTTTACCTACACAGTTCCACTCGCCTATATCTTAACACTGTCACTGTTCTCTGGTATATGAGTGTCGGTCACTTTCCAACACGTTGGAATGTTTGGTGGTGGGGGACGGGACTTCTTCCTTCGAACTCATGGTGCGTTCTATCATTGCTGAAATGTCAGCGCGTGATCCGTACTCCCTACTAATTTTCTGTGGGGAAGGCCATTGCGTCTGCAACCATACTCCCGCGGTACCCAAACCCTTCAAGGACAACTCCGACCAGCCCCAAACACACCGCGGAGCGGTCTCCCCT